TTCAATTACTAAAGATTTTTTTTTGAAAACGCTGTTTTGACTCTGATGATATAATAAAAGCAGCCGACAACGAATTTTTTGAGTCAGGAGAAAACATTTTTTACAAAAGTAAACTTTTACTGGAGGAGAAATGGCGCAATTGTATTGATGTAGGGGGGGATTATACTGAAAAATAAAATTATCAAAAAAATTTTACTTTTTTTATTTCATTGCTAGGTAGCTTACTTTTCTGGTGCCCCTCGTAAAAACTTACTTTTTTCAACTTTGAGTGTAAATTATGTATTTTCCCGTTTTCATTCATCAGTTTTGATACGCGGACCTCAATAGTGCACTTCAGTGGTTTGAATGAGGTAATTTTTTTTCACTAATTTTTGTTTTAAATACGCTTAAATATATGTTCAGGGTTTGCAAAATGCAGTGTTTAAATATACAGGGTGCTCTAGAACTCGCACCCCAGAGAAAAATGCCATGTAAGGTAAGATACCAGGAATATGGAAAAAATGTTAAAAAAATTCTAACTATAAAATTTTTTTGGAACAACACTTTTCCAAGTTTTTTTGTTACAAGCTATTAGAACAGAAAACAAGGAAGCTGTAGCCCAAAATGTAAGTATCTCTGTTTAATGTTATTTGTGGATTTTATTAGCAAAATTTTTGTACCTTTACTAAATGTTTATAAAAAAAATATACATTTAGTTGCAAAAAAAATCGGAAAATGTCAAAGCATAAAAATGTCAGATATTTATATTTATCCATAGTTTGAACATGGCTTAATTCTAAAAGTTTAAGTTAGAACTGACAGTTCTGTAGTACTCACTATTCATTGGGTTTTCACGTAAGTACTCAATTAATTAATTATCTTGATTTGCGTTTGATGCTCTGGGCATTTAGGTGCGGTATTGCAGAAAAAATTATTTGAATGCTACAGATGTCATCTGAACCTGTTTCAATCTAAAGAAAATTCTATTTTCCGTTTTTATTGCAACCAACTGTACAAGATCATCAAGATCATTAAATAGACAATAAAAAATGTCAAATGTTAAAAAATAAATGTTAATTTTTTTTTGACAGATAGACAGATAGAAAACATTTTTTCCATGTTCCTGGTATGTTTCTTATCTTACTTGAAATTTTTCTCTGGGGCGCGAGTTCTAGCGTAGCCTGTATACTATACTCTGTGAGACACTCTGTTAATCATACTTGAGCAAATAAAAAATAGATTTCATTTAGCGTTTATTGATAAGTCTATAAATAATATTAAATTAATTTTTAATCATACAGTGCGATTCAGATAAGATAATGAGCCTGACGATCTGGCGATGCAACCCAAAAAACAAATTTCATTTACGCCTTTGATCCAATTTAAATTAGGATTTGCAAGTTGAATCCAAGTTATCATCTTATGTCACTCTGACATTAGTGCCATTCAGTTCTCGCAGAATGATAGAGAAATTAGAAAAGTCTTTTCGATGTAAACCCAACACAAAATGTATGAAAGAATAAAACATTAAAGGTAGGCAAACAGTTTATTTATAAATCTTAAATTGCATGTCAAAGCACTGCCAGAGCAACATAAGATAACTTTGATTGCAAATGCAAATCGTAATTAAAATTATATCAAGACGTAAATGAAATTTGTTTTTTGGGTTGCATCGCCAGAACGTCGGGCTCATTATCTTATCTGAATCACCCTGTATAGCCTGAATACATTATTATGTAATATTTCGTTGATTAGATATAAAATCGTTAATTCTTCGACACTGTCAAAATTTACGGTTTTTCTCCCGTGTAAGGAAGTTTTGACAACTGTTTGGCATTTCTCAATACAAAACGTCAAATTATTTTTAACAGATTTAAAACAAGTTTAAGCCTTGTTGACTCTAATTCGAAGAATAAAATGTTGTATTCCACTCGTTTGAGTGTAAATCGGACGCTTTATTCCACCTCGTGGATGGTAAACCACTCGTTGCACTCGTGGTTTAAAAATCCACTCGGTCAAATAAAGAGTCGGATTTACACTCAAACTCGTCGAATAAATAACTATTATTAAATGATCTTTATTATTTATTATTATTTATTATGATCTTTATTATTATTAAATCAAAGATTTTCTAGTAGTAGGACTGTAGGTTTTAAATAAATTTCTTGATAATTTCCACTTTTCACTATGAATTAAATATCGTTTTAGCACGCAATTAAAAAAAACCCTATGCAAGGTGATTTTAAATAGTTGTGCAAAAATTTCAAGAGGTGACGATAGTACCGGTCTAAAAAAGTCAAAAAATACTCAACTTGCCTTATTTATAGTCTCTGAGATACGTATACGTGCACCCTCTATTTCTTCAAAAAAGGCAGTATAAAACAAAGATTGCATGGCTTTAATAACTTCAGTTCAACCTTTACAATGCTAATAGTGGATAACATATGAGGTAATAAAATTCGGTGGTACCTTCGACAAAAAAAATTTATGCAAAATTACTACCTTTCTATTATTATCGAGATTATTATTTCTTTTTATAGGAGGACAGTTTTTTTCTGTGGCTGTTTTTGTTTTACTTTTAAATCATTTTTTTAAAACTATGTAATAGATTTTGAAAAACTAACTTCAGATATTATACTTGTATTTGTTTACAATTTTCGTTAATGAAGTTAAGAACCATATTTAAATTTATTCGGCGACTAAAACCCTCTCTCAATTATAAATATTCTGATGAGGCAAGTTGAATTATTTTCAAATACCTATTTTTTCTTTACTGTCATCTCTTAAAATTTCCGTACAATCAATAAAATCACCATGTATATTTTATAACCAATAATTTCAAAATTAAGAGAAAGTTACAAATGTATAAATTGTTTAAGTATTTTTATTATTATTACAAAATTATGTATTTCGTTAGAAATATTACTAGTAATTAGGGCAGTAACAAATATACATACAAAAAAACTTTTTTGTTTTTGTTTTGTTTTGTCCTAGAAAAACAACATTGTTTACATTAGAGAAAATAAAGCCAAATTCACTTGATCAATTTGATTAGTTTTAATCAAAGTTGCTTCTAACTACAATTGAATATTAAATCCCAACTTGTTTTGACTGAAATTTAAGATTTTCTCAAAACTGCAGCTTTTTATTAAAAATGATGAATTTACTTAGTCCACGCCGAGCAAATACAAATAAAACCGTTCCTTCTGTAAATACGGTATCGTTTCATCCATCGGTGTATCGCAGCGACAAAGCTGAAATATTTTTTTCAGGAATTTATCCAGTTATTTGACTAACTAACTTTAGTAATATAACAGAACGTCAGTACTTCAGAAATTTACCATCAATCCGCAACAAAGCGGCCGCAAAACAATTCAGCTTGCAATTTATAAGACAGGATCAGTTGTCCTTTTTCATTCCTCAGCGAGCCGTTATCGATGTTGACGTGGAGAGCTTGTCTTAGATCTGGATTTTGCAATCCCTATTGTGGCTTGGCACAAAATACATAGCAATTGTTGTTTAACAATGCTCTACTAACTTTAATTAAAATATAATTGCGGCGAAAATATTGCATTTTGAAAGTAGTCAAGGCCCGAAAAAATTCCTAATAAGAAGGAGAGCTAATGTTCTAGATAAGAACTTTCAAAGACTTCTAAAAAAGTTTAACTATCAACAAACATAAAACTTTTACAGTTTGGCTAGAACCTATAGCGCTATTTTAAAGCAGTTGTACGTATTTTTCGAAAGGCAGCAGTTATTCCCGCAAAATTAAAGTTTATCATTTGCACAAGAAATTACCAGAGATGAAAGAATATGCGCGGTTATAGATTTGATACTCTATAAAACCCCTAAACTTATGCAATTTCAAACAAATTTTTATGTGTTTTCTTTGTTGGAGAAAGGAAATTGCCGCCGACCCTCACTAAATCGGAAGAGCTTTAGCCGTTTCTTATTTGATCAATGTGTGGAGCGAATGTGTGATAAACGTCGAGGTTTGTTAAAAATATTGTCTGTTCCAAAAAACAGAATAAGAAAAGGTTTCTTATTTTCTTATTTACTTGTTTACGTTGGGAAAAGAAGTTTTCTTTATTAAAATAAAAAAATTATGTAGGTGAAAGTCTTCTCGTTAAAATTAATTTAAATTGTTAAAGAGAAAAAAATTAGGTTGAGGGTACATTTGAACTTGAGAAACTAATTTCTTATAACACTATAATATCTTAAAAAAATTAAATTGAGAAGATAAATAGCAAGTAAGAGACTTTTTCGTGCCCATTACAAAGTTGTGCTTCAAGAAAATGTTAATTTCTTCCTTGATATAAAATAAATTGTGTTAATTACAACCGCATTGTATACTGCAGTGTTACATATTTTCCTAATTTAGATAAAACTATAAAACATAGATTTTTATTAAGCTTAAATTATCAAACAGATTTGTAAATACAACAATAAACCATTACAAATACCTGTTACATATGTATACTTTTTTTGTTCACTAAACAAATTATTCCTTTCTGCTATATTTTTAGATATTAAAAATAAACGTGTTCATTAATAATAATATTTGCAATTTTAAATAAAAAAAAATGTTGTCTTTGATGTCGATAAAAGCTTGACAATGTTATGGGTATGGTTTTTTTTCCAAAAAATTGATTAATAAAGGACTTATAATAAATATATTTACATGTAAAATAACTTTATTTCAGCAAATGTCGTATTAAATACATTGTAATGTGTGCATTTGACTCTGCAAAACTTTGCTCATATAAAGTTGGAGACAACGAAGAGAAGTTTTAGATTAGCTCATGTAAAAAGTGCATTTTAGTAATAGCGGCTTCGAACGAAATTAATTAAATTGAATGTTGAGGTGCTGGTAATTTACAGAAACAATGTGATGAGAAATTAACAGTCAAATTAGAGAAAATCGCGTTTCTGGTAGATAATTCAGGCAGATAGCAGCTCCGGCAGTTGTTTTGAGTGGAATTATGCATTGAAATTGCGTAGGAATGAACATTATAACTCACGTTGTGCTTCCAGAGTACTTTATATGCCTCAGGGTTAGCATTCACTTTGCATTCAAAGTAAACATCATCTCCTTCTTCGATGTCGTCCGGATTCAGGTTCGAGCCCAAAGACAGGTGCAGGATCGGCACATCTGAAACACAAAAGATTTTCAATCCGCTTTTCCTAGATTATCCGACGGTCTTTTTCCAATCGGCTCGTGGCTAGATTTTATATTGGTGTTTACGGATATTTGATTTTGTCAATCGACCCTTTTTCGTACGCCCGACGGGTCGTCGATAAGAAATCTGCCAGATTTATATGAAAACGCACATAAAAAAAATTCTAAAATTATAAAATCAAAACTTACAGAAAACGTTGAGTTTGACTGTGGCTTCTTCCACGCCGTTTTGCACCAGGTGATTTGAAGCCTTACACGTGAGAGTCTTGCCGTTATCCTGCCTAGTCAGAATAAGAGACAAATTGGAAAGAGTCACGTTGCCGTCTGGCGAGTCCTACAAAAATAGTAAAAAATACATAGTTCGAATCAAAAATAATTATGAAACGTTACCTCTTGAGTATAATTATGTTTTGGTGGAAGAAGCTCCTTGTTATCCATATACCAAGTAATTTTAGCCGGAGGCCTTGATCCGAATGTTTGGCACGCTATTTCGTACAGTCTGTCGGCAGAATAGGGATTGTTGCTGCTCATTATCTCCACATGTAGTGGCCGAACTGCAAAAAACATAATTGACATAGTACACCCACCTCAATTACTCTCAAATTTATTTTTCTGCCTCAGAAGTAAAAAGTGGTAATAAACATTAAAAATTTCACGTATATTTTTTATCTAGATGCTAAATTGTAGTCTCTGGTAGTGGCAGATTGCTGATTTGTCATGTCACCAAACCCATTTCAAAATGAAATATACACCATGTAATAAAGCAATATTTTCAGCAGCAAAGCGAAATCATAGTGCCACTTACTGGCTCAAAGAGATTAAAAGAAACTTATAAAAGGTTTCTTCGAAATCTCTTTGCGTGCAGCAAAATCAATAAATCTTGACTGCAACTTTAACACTTCTTCGATGTTTAAAGCAAAGGAAAATTAAGCGAGTTAGGGTGTAATTTGAGCCGGCTCTATACCCTCATTTACAATTTAATGACTCTACATTAGATAAAGACTTCAGGCGAACATTCTTTGCATGTATCCTTCTGGGAGCGTAGTTGACAGGAGAGCAGAGGAATGGTCTCAAAGGATATGTGCCAGAAATATGCCTTACTGCGCCGTTCTGACCTTTTATCATGAATCACGATTAAGGCTGCGTTTTCTTCCCCAAAAGTAATAAATTATAATCTCTCTTTGTGTGAAAGTATGGTTCTCAAATTTTGAGGTTTTTAATTAATGTATCTCCTGTAGCGTAATTGGTTTAATGTTCAGACACACAAGCGTTAAAACCGGAAGGAAATTTCGCGCCTCAAAGTTTTACTCTCTCAATTAAAAGTAGTAGGGGTGCCAATGATACGTTATTAAGTGTGATATTTAATTAAGACTTTCATATATTTTTCCCACTAACAGAGAAAACAAACACGGAATTTTATGAGGGTCGTAACCTGGAAGAATTATTTTTGAAGGAAGGTACACTCCAATACTCAAAGATTCAACCGAACTCAAATAAAAAAGAAAAAATGTGCACGCTAAGGTGCAGCCTGTTATGCACTTGAAATTAATGGGAGTCAAACACGAAACTTCTGAATTCTAATCGTTTTAAGCCATTTGACACCGTAAATACATAATTAATTTTGCACGTTTTTCTTGTGCTCCTAATTTAATTGTATTTTTGTTTAAATTATTTGACCCGGCGCAGCCACCAAAATGTCTTGTTGAAACTAGAAAGCATTTAAAAGATTTAATTTTTTAGTTTAGTTATTAAATTTTTTTGTAGAATGAATCCATTTATCGTCGGTATAATTTCGTTGTAGGATATTTTCCGTCTCGCAAATTCGATCTTTTAAAGTCGATTTAGCATCTCGATGTAGGCTTGAAAATGTTGGGTAAGCACCGTTTTTAAACGGAATTAGGCTGAGTCAATTTTGATAATATAAATTTACGTCTCTTTTAAAACGTTTTTATCAATAGGATAGGCAGTCAAAGAAGTGTAAGAGAGCCGAATGTGACTGGCACATCGAACGGGTTCATTACCAGTCGCTTTAGAGGAGATCTTATTCCAATCACACCGACACAAACAACGCCAATAATTGCTTGGGAAAACGAAAATCCTTACAACCAAATCAACTTAACCGCTGTTGGATTATTAAAACAGTATTAATCACTCGTGCTTCATTAATTTCGTAAGGAGAAGAAAGCGAATAAAATCGCATCGATCGACTACCGAGTCTTAGTATTTTGCATTTTAAACGACAGTTAACGCAAGCACGACTTAATTTATTTTTATCAGCAAAGTTGAAGATTTTATACGTAATGAGAAGTTCTCGATGAAGCAAAAAGTTGCATTTTTAAAATAGTTTCCGGGAAAAGCTTCGACCAAATTAAGAAATCCAAAATATAAAAGCAAAAATGTTAATATTTCTAAGCAGATATATATCGATCATTGTTTTTAATTCGGTAATACAAATTAATCCACGAAGTATAGTAGATACAAGTAGTAGTACTAAATAACAATTTTTCTATTTTGCCGCTTTATATCATTTTATAAATCAAAAGACGAAAATTTTAATTTTTTTTCTAGAGAATTTTGCGAAGGTTGGCGACATTTATGAGGAATAATTTTAGGCGGCTATGTAAAATAAAAATAATTCTTATTTTCACATTTGAAAATGAATTGTGAAGAAAGTCCATCACTAAAATTAAATTAACGCCAACGACTTACTAAACACTCAAATGACGTCATTTGGGTGCTGGAATAGACTTATTCTAAACGCAAAATAGAAAAAACAATATTCATATGCAAGCCACTGAAAACTGCTTGATTGACAGAAATCGCATGAACAAAAACAGAGGCATCAAGACGATTAGCGATACAAACACTTTCACATTCATAATAAAAAAGGTAGACAAAGCGGTGCAGTAGCTAATACTCAAAAATCACTTTCATCTTTTTTGTCGAGTGCTCATGATAACTTTTATTTGAAATTCAGTAAAGTTTCTATTGCAGCAGTTATGAAAAGATTTTGAGAAAATTTTTAAAATAAAAATAACTGTAGAGCCTTGTAAAATGATTTATATTTCGGTCGGTCATGAAAATTAAAATTTATACTTTGAGAGTTCTAGGTTGTTCATTTTTGTACGATTGCACCCACTGGTTGAAGATAAGTCATTTTAACAATTTGCGACATTTATCGTTTTAAAGTGGTTTTTGTGATTTTTCTCTCCTATTTCTTTTTTGTTCTACGTTTCTTCCACCTTCCTTTTGAACAAATAAGCTATGTTATTTTTCCAGACATAACTCAACTGAACAACCATTTCTAAAGAATGTTTACATTAGTAGCTTTTTTCGAACTAAAATTAATTAAAATTATTAAATTCTACGTAAAAAAGTGCCTGTATAATGTCTTTATTTCAAATCCGTATCTTCTATAATAAGAAAGATATGAATTTTTTTAGATTTCGCTAAAATGTCAATATTTGTCTATAAGTCGAAAACAAAAGACGATAGCGAGATGAGGTTGTAACCAATATTATTTTCTCAAAAAATGAGTTTTTGGCTAAACCTCTTAGTTTCGGAGATTCCCTATTCGGATATCCAAAATGCAGCACCCTGTACATTAAAAATGGTTTAACAAAAATTTGAAGATAGGCACAGAATGACAAAAGGAATCGAAAAAGTTAACTTCATGTATACCAAAAATTGTTTTACCTACTTCAATATGTATTGTGATTCAATTAAAACAAAAAACAAAAAAAAACGCCGTGGCCGGAAGTTAAACCTCTCTAACAAATATTTTTAGAATCGCCGTCTCCATAGAAATAATCCTTTTCTCGCCTGGGCATTTTTTGAGTTCAACTGATTCCCGTTGGCGCTTTAATTTGGGGAAAATTTTTGACAAATCCAGTTTTTTAGCTTAAAGGGTTCAACCTCATAATATCAATTCTCCCTGGCGTATCTTGTTTTGTTGTATCCTTCCTTCCCAACTGTTATTAATTGCGTTATTTTTCGTTAATAATTAAAAATCATTCAGATTGTCCTTAGTAACCCCCGTAACTAAGAAAAAATCGGAATCACTGCTCCAATGCATTTTTTACGAAATGCCCAGACGGGATATTTATACATTTGATTAAGGAGGCGGTGATTTTTAGTAATGAGATAGAATAACCACATATTTTCAATAAAGCATTTTTTGACCAAATTATTATTAGAAAATGCTTTTCATAAAAGTTAATGACTCACATGCAGTAGTACAACTGTTAATGTATTTATCCATTTGTGTTCAATTTTATTTAATTTCCTCCAACAGTTCTGTTAAAATAATAATACTAATGGATCATAATTTATATTGATTTTTATGTTTCGTTACTTTCTCTAAAAAATATGATTGGTATTCTTTCTGCTATGAAGTATAAATTACTACGAAGGCTATAATCTTACAGTCTAAAAAAATACAAATACAATTAATAACTCATTTATTTATATTTAAAAATTATTTTTGAAACAAAAATCAATAAATGTTTCAATATCCAATATCTTTATTCATACTCTGTTTACCCTCCACCATAATAAAAATCTTTTTTGGAAACAAATTGAATTTTTAAATTTTTAAATGTTTGTTAACTTTGGTTTTATTATTGCATTGCTTGAGCTAGATTGAATTGGAAATATGCGTAATTAGATGTCAAATAAAGTTTTTTATCGAAACCGGAAATATCAAGTTAATTTTATGCGTACATCTAATATCACAAACGTGTTCGATGACTGCTTGTACAAACTGGCATCTATGTTAAAGAACCTTTCAGAGTTTTCTCAAACCAAGCCTGTAGATTGCTTGTAGAAATCACTGAGTCCGTTTTCAAGAGAGATCTCAAGTGCAAGTATCTTTCAGCAGCAGATCAGAGGCGTCTGCGGTCTCATTGATATTCTATGCGTGAAAACAGATACCGCGTTCCTGAAGTTCGTTTTCATGGTTTCTACAAAGAGCGGAGAACTTTTCCAGACAACTGTATCGTGCAAAAAATCGCCTTTTTTGGCAGGACCAAAGCCTGATTTTCAAACATTTTGAACCAAAATCAAAATAATATGCGTTCATCTGCTTGAATAAAATAACTCACATGCAAGTTATGTGACAACTTCCGCTCATGAATATTCATAGTTGGCCACTTTACAAAAGCCGTGCCGGAGAGAGCTTAAGTAGTAATTTCATTTCGCTAAACTGAATTAACGGGAATTAGTGTAAATCTTCACTTTTTTAAAAAATGTCCCAAAAACGAATTAAGAAAAATTTAATAAAAGAGAGTAATAAGCTTATTAAATGACACTTGCTTTGGTTAGTCCTTTCTCTAAGCTCGGCGAATAACAATGAACATTTTTCATAACAGAGTGAAAAGATTACAAGCTTCGCACTTTGAATTATAAATAAATTTTTGGTGGAACTGGAATAGGTAAGTGCACAAAAAATAAAAAACGCCAATTCAATCTACCTATTCCAACACACAATCATTGTGAATTAGTAGAAAATTCAATTTTCTCATCTGAATATCAATGAAAGCTCCACCTATAATTG